CCCCCGCCGCCCGCCCGCCCGCACTCACCTCAGCCGCCCATCCGGGCCGGCTGCCGGCCGTCGACCTCGTCCTCCAACCCCCCCCGCAAAGTCTCCGGTGTGTTATTCCCGTGGTGGGGGGGTGGTTCCAGGGTGGTCGCCGGGGGGCTCGGGAACGGGGGGCCGCGCCTTCAACGGAGCCGCAATCCTAACCCGCCATCTGGTGGCATTTTCCACACGCCAATGGCGCCGCTGCAGACTCGGGTCCGGACCGCCCTCTGCTGGCCACCGTGCTCCGGTGCCTCGCTGACGGGACGGGGGCCTTACCCGGAACGCGAGGCGGGCGGGAGGGAGGGAGGGCGCTGAGGCGCCGGAGGGGGGCGACGGGGGAGGGAGGGCGGCACGCGCAAACGCTTTCCTGAGGAGGAGGAGGAGGAGGAGGGAGAGTGTGTGGGCAGCGCGCATGCGCCAGAGCGGGGCGGGAAAAACGTGGCCGCGCCGCGGAGGTCCCGCCCTCCTCCCCCCTCCCGCCGTGGTTCAGCCAATCGCGTGCGGCGGAAGACCTCTCCCGCGCTCCAGCCCGCCCCCCACCTCCTTCCGTCGGCCCCCCCTCTCCCTGAGCCGGACCGCTGGCGGCTGGCGGAAGGACGGCCGCCAGGGCGCCTGCGCGGCCCGCTCGCGCTGAGTTGTCGCCCGCCATTTTTTTTTTAATGTTTTTATTTAAGAGCTTCTGGAAGAGAAGGTCTGGGAAGGAATCCATCACACACACACACACACACCCATACACACCCCTCCCCATCCATTCCGCCACTCCCGCCACTCCGAGACGGCGCGGGAAGGAGCGGGACGCGGGGGGGGGGGTGGAGGGGGCGGAGTCCCGCACGCGCACGCGCACTCGCGCGCCCAGGCCCAGGTTGGAGTCTCGGGGGCCCGGGCTTTGTATTCGAGATGTATTGTTGACGGAGGAGAGGAGGGGGGCGAGCTGACGACTCTGTGGAGACCCTCTCCCCGCCCCCCCGTCCTCCCTCCCCCCTCCCGCCCTCCCTCCGCCGATGGGGCGGAGCGCTGTCTGCTCCGGATCCGACGGCGTCGGCCTCCCTCCCTCCACCTCTCTCCCTCACTCTCTCTTCTCTGTCCTCCCCCCCTCCTCCTCTTCTCTTTCTTTCCTCTCTCCTCCCCCCCCTCTCGGGTTCCACGCAGCCGGCCTTGCCTGAGGCGGCAGCATTGGCTCGGGTAGCCGAGAGCAGAGGGGAGCCCGGCTGCAGCTGGGGACACCAGACCCCCCCCGCGCCCGCGATCCCTCCTCCTCCCCCCTCCCGCCTGGGGCCTCGGGATCCCTCCTTCCTCCCTCCCCACCACCACCCCTGTCAGCCTGCCTGGCCCGGGCAGGGGTGCAGGGATCCAGCCTGGCCTGGTAAAAGCTGCCCACAGGGTAGATCTGGGCCAAGCTTGAGGGTGTGTGTGCAGCCAGGCCCCTTTCCCTTACCCTTGGCTCCACATGCTCAAAGGAGATCTTGGCCAAGCTTGAGAGAGAGGTGGGGGGGCCAGGCCCCTCTCCCTTTCCCCTTGTCCCCACCTGCCCTCCCCCCCCTCCTCGGCCAAGACTTCCACCTGCTTGCAACTCCTCACTACCAAAATCCCAACTCTTCCCTCCTCCTCCCAAACCCAGGGTTCCATCACCACCCACCCACAGACCTTGATTCTTTCCTCTGGAAACCACCCCCCCCCCTCAGCCCCGTGTTCACAGCCTGCCTCAAGCCGCCCGACGATCCTTAGGTGAACCTGTGTCTGGTTTTCCGCCGCTCACTCTGGCGGCAAGGTGCCGTGGCGTTTTTCACTGGAGGATGACTAGGCTCTTGAGTTGTCTATAGATACAGCTCTGCCGTTCATCCCCACCTCGGCTTCCTGTTGTACTCTTCTGCAGAGCTAGTAGTTAGCCCTCACTGGTGCTTCGAGTGGCCGGGTCTCAAGCCAGATGAAGAAGGTAACTGCCCTAGGCTCCACGAATCAATGGGATTCCAATAATGGTTTGATGTCTTCTCCATCGTAAAAGTGTGTGGCTAACCTTGTTTTTTTTCTTTTAATCACAATCTCGAAAAAAAAATCTGTGGGGCACCAGTGGCTCACACCTGTCATCCTAGCTACTCAGGAGGCTGAGATCTTAGGATCATGGTTCAAAGCCAGCCCAGGCAGGAAAGTCCATGAGACTCTTTCCTCCAATAAACCACCAGAAAACCAGAAGTGGCGCTGAGGCTCAAGTGGTAGAGCACTCGCCTTGAGCTGAAGATCTCGGGGACAGCACACAGGCCCAGAGTTCAAGGCCCACAACCAACCAAAAAAAAATCATTCATCTCCCTTTGAATTCCTAATATGACTCTAATTCCAGCAGTGCAATGTTTAAGAACATGGAATCCACAAGCCCGCTGGGAAACTGAATAACCTTGGGCAAATTGCTTTGTGTCTTCAATAACTTTGAGTTATAATACAAAGAACTAGTTGGGACTCTATAGATAACAAACTTCCTTTAAAATATTGGCCAAACTTAGGTTTATTTTCTCATTCCAACTCACATTCTCTCATTTCAGCTCACATTCTGTAACTTCAGCTCACAAGAGTTGTTATTCAATTGATCTCACTCTTCTGCATAGAGTAAAAATACAGAACTTCCTTGTTTTGACGATGCAATGATTTAACAATTGATGATTCTTCCTTCCAGTCTCCTTTTGCAGGTACAGTTGAGGGTGCAGCTACTAGATGTTTATACCCAAGAAGTCTTCCATCAGCTGATCACATTTCCTCACCCTCTACCCCCCTCCCCCCCACACACACCCAATTTTTTCTTCTTCTTTTTCTGGTACCAGAGTTTTAACTCAGGACCTCATACTTACTCACCTGGCTGGTACTCTACCCATCAAATCACACTACTTTCATCCAGCTTTTAGCTGGATGTTTTGGGGGTGGAGTCTCTTAACACTTTTCTGCCCCCAGCTGCCTTCGAACTTCAATCCTCCAGATCTCTAGGATTAAAGGTGTGAACCACCAGCACCCAACTCTCCCCCCCTTCCCTTTTACCACTTCCACAAGCCATGCGCTTGTCTCATCAGCCCCCTCTCTTGGTTTGTTCGTGTGGTTCACTTCATTGTACAATATGATAGCAAGTTGCCAAGTCAAATGGTTTTCCCTTTTTCCTCCCCCTAGGCTTGCAATTCGGATGTGGTGCCAGTTGGTGGCAGTAATATGCCATGATGTTCCACCTCACAGTCCACGGTTGGATTAAATTACCATTTTTCCTTTTTTTTTTTTTTAACCCAAACCACAATTTCTTCTAAAAACCATCCGTGTTGATAATTCCCTAGAACAGAACATACTTTCAGAATCGTAGCAGAGAGAAGAAGAAGAGAAAAAAGAAAAAGGTAGAGAAAGAGAAGAAAACCCTCCCCCGGCAGTAGGCTAGAAACAGTTACAGGTGAGAGTTCAAGGATCTTAAATACGGTTTTACAGAGAGTGAAGTTGGCGTGATTCAGTTGGTAGAGCACTAATCAGTGAGGCAAAGCTTCAAGTGCCAACTTGGAGGCCTGGTCTTAAACTACAACAAAACAGACAAAAAAACAGAGAGACAAGTATCAGTAAAAAAGTCATTTATTTCACCAAGTTTCTTAGGATCCTAGTATGCCCAGGCTATTACTTTTTCCCCCCCACTTCGGTCATGGGGCTTGAACTCTGGGTCTGGGCGCTGTCCCCAAGCTCTGCAGCTCAAAGCCAGCCACTCTGTCACTTGAGCCACAGCACCACTTCCGGTTTTCTGGTGATTCATTGGAGATAAGAGTCTCATGGACTTTCCTGCCTGGGCTGGCTTTGAACCACGATCCTCAGATCTCAGCCTGCTGAGTAGCTGGGATTACAGGGTGAGCCACTGACGCCCAGTTTAGTATTTATATTTGAGTTTAGTATATCTTTAGAGGATATCTAATGGTTCCCTGCTATTCTAATACCCACTGCTTGGTTATCTCACACAGCCACATCAGTTTTAGCTCTTTGGAGTTGGTTTTCTTTGTAACTGTAAATAATGCAACGAAAACCCTGAGAAAAGATTTCCACAGTGGATGTTGCAATTCTCTCCCATTAGCATCCTCATCCCTCCTTCCCATTTTATACTTGCCTCTAAAGCCTTTAACAGTCAAACTGTTGTCAGGCACTGGTAGCTCCCACCTGTAATCCTAGCTACTCAGGAGGCTGAGATCTGAGAATCAACGTTCAAAAGCAGCCCAGGGTAGAAACGTCCTTGAGACTCTTTATCTCCTGTGAACCAGCAAAAAGCCAGCAGTGGACCCATATGCCTCAGGTGGTAGAGCACCAGCCTTAAGCAAAAAATTCTAAGGGACAGCTGAGCTGCCTGGGCGTAAGTTAAAGCCCCAATACCAGCACAAACAATAACAGAGTTTTGGCCTGGCTCTACTCCACATAATTGCTCTTAGTCATTCATCAACATAATGAATATGTCCATCATCTCTATAAAGTTCCACATTGCCTTGTAAACTAACGCCTCCCTGCTTGCTTTATTCCAGTCCCCAGATAGACACTGGTCTGGCTTCTCTCACTATAGGTTAATTGCATTTTCTACAATTTTATATAAATGGAGTAGTGCATCATGTACTGGGAATGGTGTGTTTTCCTTCTTGAGATTCATTTTTTGGTGTATTAACTGCTCATTCTCATTTTACTACAGCATTCCTTTGCATGATTATTTATATTAGAGCTTGACACTTCACTTGTTGAAGGACATTTGCACAGTTGTTTTTTTTTTTACCTATACTAAAGATACCACGAATACTTAACACTATAATTATGAATCAAGATTTGGTCCTTTTTAAAAAAAATAGTATTTTAAGCTGGCACTGGTGGCTCATACCTGTAATCCTAGAGCTACTCAGGAGGCTGAGATCTGAGGCTTACAGTTCAAAACCAGCCCTGGCAGGAAAGTCTGTGAGACTCTTATCTCCAATAAACCACTAGAAAACCAGAAGTGGTGCTGTGGCTCAAGTAGTAGAGCACTGGCCTTGAGCTGAAGAGCTCAGGGATAGCGCCCAGGCCCAGAGTTCAAGCCCCAGGACTGACCAAAAAAAAAATTATTATTGTAAAGATGATATAGGGATTTAGACTTTAGGTAAACTAAAAAGAACTCTCCATGAGGCAAAAGACTAAAATTGGAAATGTTCTAAGGAGTTACACAGATAGCATACAAAGTGGAATGAAG